AAACGTGCGTGTTCAGTTCCCCCACTGCCCCGGAGTTTTTAACCCCCTCGGATCTGGCAGAGTTGCCTCTCGACACCTTCCCCTTTCTGTGAGCCTTCTGCTCCAGCGCAGAAAACGACAGGAAATCCAGCGACAGTCTGGTGCCTTTAACACAAACTCCATTCAGACCGCTGGTCCAAACCCTACTGCTGTTCCCAGAAGCCCCCTCATTGTCCATATTCTCTTCTGGGGGTTTTGCGTCTGTCCCACAGAAAGCCAGGGATCGGGACTGGGAATGGGCTGCGTGGGCTGACTTCGTGATTGAGCTTGGGGTGTTGTGTCACTGATAACGTTTGAGATGTTGGTTTTATTCAGCTTTCCTGCGCTGTCACGGATCCTGCCGGAATGGGGCAGGTCTGTTTCTGACTCTGTGCTGAGTGCTCTGCCCTTCCTGACCAATCGCAGCTCTGCCCTGGTGTTAAAGCGCTTTGCGTCCTCAGATCTCTGCTTGTGTGTCACTGGCCAGCTCCGGTAGAGAAATAAAGATCTGAGCCTTTACTGGATTCTTCCTGTGTCTCTTGATTGATTTACTTATGGAAGGATTTCTGTTGGACATTCACCACGAACCATAATGCCTCATATAATCGAAAAGAAACTACTGCTGGGCCAATGGCCATGTGCCGATCTCCTTCCTGTGTGTGTGTGTGTATCTGTGTCAACGTCTGAGTGTGTTTCAGTGCTGTACTGTATGTCTGTGTGTAACTGTGGGTTTATCTGTGCCGGTGTCAGCGGTGAGCGTGTGTCTCTGTGTCCATGTGTTGTGTGTGAGTGTCACTAGGTATTGCTATCAATATGGTACAAAATCTGAGCCATATGTGCCTTCAGTGACAGTAAAGCCACAAACAGGGTTGTGAAGATGTGTCTCCATGAGCCAAGTGGCTGTTTCTACACCCACTGGAGTCTTGTTTGAAATCTAGAGCTGTCCTGACTGCTTGCGGCCTGTTGTCACTGCATGCAGAGCAGCAGTAAGTTGTTGCTAAACAGAGGCTTGTGCGGCGGTCAGACTCCAGTCTCACACTTCCTCTGCCCTGTGGACAGCTGGCTGAGCGTGACTCCTCGCGCCCTTCCTCTGTCCCGGCGTGACCCGCCGGGCAGGGTCTCCCCGTCTCGGCCCACGCGTGGCAGCGCTGATCTCTGGCCACCCCCTGTCACTCCCTCGGCCAGGCCAGTTAGCGCCACAGTACGAGCCACCTTCTCCTCGCAGCCGCAGGCTGGTTTCGCCATTGGACTGCAGGGAGCCAAGTTGCACATTGTGTTGTAAATCAGGGCTCACTGCTTGACTCAAGTTCCGCTCGGGGCCGAGAGCTGCTGCTGTTGGGCCCTGACCTTGCGGGTGGTGAGAACCCTGCACGTGGGGGCCAGGTGTCTGCCTGCCCCTGCAGGCACACGATAAGGCGGCTGAGCACTACGGCCCTGTTAATGGTTAGTGGCGGACAGGCGACCTGGAGATAAGAGATTATAGTATTTTTATAGTACAACAAGATGATGGTAAAACCACAGTGCAGTAAAACACAGTGAGAACAGGGTAAAAGCACAGTCTAGTGCAGTAAATCACAGTGAGATCAGGGTAAAAGCACAGTCTAGTGCAGTAAATCACAGTGAGATCAGGGTAAAAGCACAGTCTAGTGCGGTAAATCACAGTGAGATCAGGGTAAAGGCACAGCACAGTGCAGTAAAACCCAGTGAGCTTGTGGTATAATTAAAGTCCAGTGCAGTAAATCACAGTGAGATCAGGGTAAAAGTATAGTATAGTGTGGTAAAGCACGGGGAGATTGTGGTGAAGTTACAGTACAGTGCAGTAATGTCCAGTTAGATCATCAAAGGGGATTGTAAAACTGTGTTTGCCAGTTGTGTGACACAAAACATGATTATTATCTGTCTTATTCAAATGAGTTTTGATACTATTCAGGTCGTAGTCTCCTCTGTCCAGCTATGTGTGAGTAATACAATGTTTATTATTATTAACTGTTACCAATCAGTAGTCATGACGCAGAATGAACCAGACAAAATCAACTAGGACTCTGGGAGTGTGGAACAAGCCCAGCCACGTGGTTGTCACAGTCGATGCTCTGGTTTCACTCAAGACGCTGGGGGACTGAGTGGCCTTGTAACCTTCCTTGTTTTCCTGCTCTCGATGTTTTCTTGTTTTCCTGCGCCCGATGGGCACACGTCCAGCAGAGGAAACCGTGTGTGTGTGTGTCTGAGCGGGGGGCCCCTCACCTGGGCACACACACACTCTTTCCCACAGGGGCTGGGGCGAGGCGCGGGCAGGTATAAAGACCGCCCTGCCCCAGGGCACACCAGAGGAGACCCTGCGTCTCAGCTATGGCCGCGCTGTGGATCGTCAGCTGCCTGGCCCTGGTGGGCTCAGCCCTGGGTGAGAGTGGAGTCCTGCAGCACCAGCCACAGTAACACTTGAGCTGCAGTTCGGTCATTGTTATCGCATTGCTATGACTAGGACTATGTTCAGTTCAGTTCATTTGCCACATGCATACACGCCACAAAATGCTTATTTCGGGCTGTGAGGCAGAGCCCCTGCTGTCCGGGTGTGACGGTGTGTTAACCCTTTCCCCTCCAGGCTGCGGGGTGCCCAGCATCAGGCCCGTGGTGAGTGGCTACAACAAGATTGTGAACGGCGAGAACGCTGTGCCCGGCTCCTGGCCCTGGCAGGTCTCTCTGCAGGTGAGCCACAGACACACCCCCTCCTGTTTCTGTCACTCTGTCTGTCTCCCTTTCTGCCTGTCTCCCTCTCTGTCTGCCTGCCTGTCTGTCTGTCTGTCCATCCAGTATCAATGACAGTGGCAGGAACAGCAGGCCAAGGCCCGGCTGCATCATCTGCAGCTCTGTGTGTCTGTGCCTGCGAATCCACCCCGAGGGATCTGGTTTTGGACCCTGAGCAGCTGCAGGGTGTTTCCCTGACTGGAGGAGAGAGTGCAGGAGCAAAGCAGGCCAGCAAGGGGGGCACAGGGGCACAGCACCTCCTGTCTCTCAGCGGTGGGGTGTCTCTGTGTTTTGCAGCAGTTCTCTGGGTTCCACTTCTGCGGAGGCTCCCTCATCAGCCAGTACTGGGTGGTCACGGCCGCCCACTGCCGCGTCAGGTATGATCCTCACCCCCTGAGCCCCCTGAGCCCCCGCAGCCCCAGTCCTGGTCCTGGAGGGTCTGGTGTGTCCCCAGGGTTTCAGTCCAGCTGGGCTCCTAACGATCTCAACCAGCTCGTTAGAGGCTTATTTGTACTTACTTGATTGCATATCGCGCTGATTCTCGTCGAGAAGCTTCATGATGGGACCAGCGCCAGTGCCCATGTTTACTACCCAGCTCTTGGCTAGTTGAATATTCCTTGGAAAAGGAATTTCCCAGGAGTTTCTGCTGATCAGCTGATCACTTTCAGCAACTAGCGAGCAGGAAGGGCCACTTTCACGTGACAATTTGCGCGAAACTCTCGCTCTCGTCCGTGACGAGACCAGCGGTTTCTCGTCTGCCAGCGACAACATGGCCACCATGAAGTACTCTCACAAAGTTCGTGATTTTGCACTTAACTCAAAATTTTCACATTTGTGCACTTCTGTCTGAGAAATCGGGCGTGCAGTTCCCCCTTCAATGACGTGACAGTTTGGAGAGTGGGAGGGGATGTTGAAATTGATTATGTCAAACAAGCTGTAGCAAACCCGGCTTCTCCTGCCTGTATCGCCACAGCCCCAGCCAGCACCGCGTCATCCTGGGGGAGTACGACCGCTCCTCCAACACCGAGCAGATCCAGGTCAAGAACATCGCCAAGGTAACGCCCCCCCCTCTTCCCCAGTACGACATCGTGTGTCCACGCGCCCCTACATTCAACGAGCTCCCCACAGTGCGCGGCGTCACAGTGCTGGAATCTCCTGCTCGTCCGCCGCCGCTGTGAGGAGCTCTGCTCGGGTGCTCCCCAGGCGAAAGGCGCTATACGGCGTGGGAGCAGTGACCGCAGGAGTGTCTTGACGGCATGCGTTTGCGTTTTGTTCAGGCGATCACTCACCCCTACTACAACGCCAACACCTTCAACAATGACATCACCCTGCTGAAGCTCTCCTCGCCCGCCCAGATCACTGCCCGCGTCTCGCCCGTCTGCCTGGCCAGCGCTGGCATGAGCGTCCCGTCTGGAGCGCCGGTGGTCACCACGGGCTGGGGCCGGACAGCCGGCAGCTGTGAGCATCGCCGTCTGCGTGTCTCCTCTGTCTCTCATCTTCTTCGTCATCATCTGCCTCTGTCAGACTGTCTTCATCTCTTCACTGTCTCTCTGCATATCTCCTCTGTCTCTCT